TCACTTAAAGACGCATTAATAAGTAGCTAGGAGAGGAGATATATAAGAGCAATGTGCGCGCACGCATAAGTGGGCAGAGTAAGAGGTGCTATAGACACTATAGTAAGGCTGGCCATAACTCTTATACGTGTCAGAAAGATGCGCAAGATACAATATAATATAGGAGCTACCTATCTATTGTAGTACGTACGCGCGTTGTGGAGTCTTCTAAGTTACAAGTCGTCTGAAGTAGGTGGAGGTGGCGCGCTTACTTATATGGCGCGCTCGCATATAAAGTACGTTACATCATTAATTAATTATTCGTCATAAGACATTATAAGTGGAAGCAGTATATCTCTTACTCTCAATTTGCTTGTGATCAAGAGCTAAGATAGCTAGGGTTATATTTGCGTCATTGCAGGGTGATTGGATACTAGATGGTTGAGCCCTTGTTGTTGATAGGTGACGCGTCGCGAAAAGTTGGTAGGGTGGCGCGTTCGCTTGCCAGGTACGTTATTTATTGGCAAGAAGTGGGCAACGACTAGAACGCCTATTGCTAAGATCCATACTAGTCGCGTCGAAGAGTACAGGAATGCGACTTATAAAACTCAGGTCGCGATAGGCATAGTATCAGTTGTTACACGGCCTCCCAATTCTTACTTCAGTTCTTTTGCAGGCGTTAGCCGTACCCATTGATCCCAATATATCATCAGCGCAAGATTCTCTGCTCTCCATGGCTTCTCAGGCGTCCTGCTCTGGAAATCGAAGCGGCGGAACATCTACTCGTGTCAGTGGAAGCTCAAGTAGGAACAGTGAATTCAGGTGCCCAAACCTCCAAGCAAAGTTTTTGCGTGATCAACTGGGCTACATTTTTGCCCAGGCACTGCCTCGCACCATAGCCCCAGCTCATGATGTATTTGTTCATGTTCCGGGTGCGCTCTTCGCCCTCCAGCCACCGGTCTGGGTTGAACTCAAAGGCATCCTCCCCAAATATGTTTTTATCCCGGTGGATTACATATGGGTTCGCTGCGATTTCTGTGCCTTCTGGGACGTACTTTCCGTTGACCTCTAGTCCCCCTTTTGATACCAGGCGGGGCAGAACAACGGGCGTAGAAGGGCAGAATCGAAGTGTTTCTTGAACGCAAGCCATGAAATAGGGCAGTTTCTGAGTCTCCTCAAAGGTGACGACGCCCTTGGAAAGTGTGCCATCGGCTTCAAATTCCTGGATCTCCTGGCGAAGTCTTGCATGGATGACGGGATTCTGAATCACGTAATTCACAAACGGCCCGATGAACGCAGCTGTCGTGTCCGGGCCTGCGACCATGAGGACAAAGGCCTCCGCCTTGATTTCCGCTTCGGTCATGTAGCTCCCATCGGCATTCTTTGCGTTCATTAAACTATCGAGCGGTGAACAATCGCTCGAGTTGGCTCTTGCAGTGCGTTACCTACTTGTCTAAGAAGTCGCCGTGGGCCATGGCATGTCGGTTTTGAAATCGTTCTCGCAACATATCATCACGATACTTAGTCTCCAATTAGCATGAGATCCAAAACGCAAATCCAAGGGACGTTCTTACCTTCATGATTTTGCCAGTCCCAGTCCCGTCGCCCGGGCCGGGCATAAGATAGTCTCCAAGAATTGGCGCATTCATCAAGGGATTCACCCAGTTGGGCAAAGCCGCCACAAGACCCGCCAGGGGCGCCATGTCGTGGAAATTCTGTATCAGCTCTTGCACGTCCTTCCCCTGTTCCACGAACCCGACAGACTTCCCAAACGCCATGGCGGATATCGTGTCGTACACGAACCATCTAATGAAGAGCACAAAAGATTAGCATACCGGGGGCCAGACCACCACCCATGTGGCTCACGGGAATTTTACTGGAGCTCGGCGCGCTTACTTGACCCATTCTGACAAATCCAACGGTTCCTCGGTTCTCACATAACGCTCGTTGAACTGGCTCAGCAGCTTCTCGATCATGTTGTTTACATCCGATTCCATTTTCCTCAGGTTGGAGATTTGAAACTGCAGATCCCAACAGTCAGCTCACGCACCGCATCAGATGGCCAACGGAGAAAAGAAAGCAGTGGACGCACCGAAGCAGCCACGCGCTTCCTTTTCGCTGCATGCTCCTTATGATCTTGCGTCTGAAATGGCGGCCTCAGACGGCCTAGGACGCCAGGGCTGTAAAAGTCGGACTTGTCGGCATTGCGATGGTATACTACAGGTACCAATTTCGGGTCGCTGAAGACGAGGAAGTTGGGTGCGACGCGGATAGCAGGCCCTTGTAAAATAAATCAGCACCCTATTATCATTATTGTACCCCCTTGATATGTGAAGCGTATTTCTGTTTTACCATATTTCTTGTGGTACTCGATACCACGCGTATGCGACTCCTTGGTCGACAGAATGTAAAGCTTCCAGAAGTTTGATATTGAGGCCCAGAAAGGGCCGGGGAACTTGCTCAGCGGGTGGAAATATCGACAATGGATACAGCTCAGGATGTAGTAGGTGAGCCATCCTATCACAACCGTCCTCAGCGCCAACCCCATAGTGGCATCTTCATCTTGTCGGTTGTACTTTGCCATGACTGTGATTCCGGCCGCGACCTTGCCTGCGAGTCGAGACGAGTTTATGGTCGCGCCCTAGGGTTGGACTGTTTGGAGGGTTGGCTTTCTGTGATGCGTCGCCCTATGGATGCGCATGAAGGGCCACACATGTGCGATCCCCGATTCCCCGAAAGAGCGCGGGGAAGGCGGACATTCGGGAACAGGGCGCTTTTACTGCGCCGGTGACAGAAACCAGCTCTCCAACGACAAGAGGGCAGAGACAAGCCCGAAATTTTCTAGGCCAGGAGCGATTCGACAGTAGACTAAGCATGGCGTTACTCATCGACGGCGTCGCCATTGTCACCGGTGCAGGTGGGTTACCCTGCCCCTAATCTTACGGACATACGCAGAACGTGGGCTGATGGTGATCGCCTAGGTAGTGGCATTGGGCGAGAATGTTGTTTTGCGTATGCTAGTCATGGTGCACGCGCAGTTGTCATGGCAGATTCGAACTATTCTACGGCCCTGGAGACGGCGCACCAGAGCAATTTGCTGGCCACTCATGCAGATTATGAATCGCTTGCGATACAAGTCGACGTAGGGGACCCTGAGAGCATTGCTAAAATGGTGACGGCTACTGTTCAACGTTTTGGCCGTATCGATTACAGCGTGAACAGCGCCGGTGTTGGCGTTCGGAAACCTGCCCCTGTCGACGACGTGGACCTAGAAGAGATGAATCGATTCTGGAAAGTGAACGTCTTGGGAACCTTGAACTGCATCAAGGCTGTGTCGAAGGTTATGAAGCTTCAGGGGATCAGAAAGGCAACTACACGAGGCAAAGAGCGGGATGTGGGTCGCGGTGTCATACTCAACCTGGGATCCTGCAGTTCTTTCATGGCGACAGCGGAGATGTTGCCGTATACGACGAGCAAGCATGCAGTCATGGGCATGACGAAAAATGCAGGTTCGTATGACTATACAAGTACAGTGTACTATTCTAGAGTGTATGCTAACCCACAACTATTACAATATAGCATTGGATCTAGCAAAACACGGTATCCGGGTTAATGCTATTTGCCCCAGCTGGGTCGAAACGCCCATGGTAAATGCAGCGGTGGAAGGCAATCCGAGTTTGTCAAGCCTCATGGAGGCTTCAATACCAATGGCTAGAATTGCAAAGGTTGAAGAGATTGCGGACCTAGTTGTGTTGATGACCAGCCCACTCGCAAGTTACGTGACTGGTGTTGGTTGGATCGTCGACGGGGGTACGACATTGCAGCTTAAAACAAGTTAGATGAGATTCTGTAGCCTCGGTTTTTTATTTCTATTAAAATAAAATGGTGTTTTATAAAGTCCTAGATTCCGATAAGAACTATAGTTCTAGAATATATTTATATATATATACCTAAGTAATGGCAAATTTACCCTAGAGGTAGAATAGATAGGATATAAACTTAATATATAAGTCTAAAGTAGGAAATTTCCCTAATTAAATGTTAGCTTCTATATATAATGAGTTACACGTTACTATTACCTATGAATCGGCCTGGGGCCGGGACCGACGGAAACTCGTAACCCCAAGATTAATACTTTAGAAAATCGAGACTTAGGAAAGGGCTCTAAGTCTTTAATTTAGAACTAAAAGGGGTCTAGTATTAATTTTAGTAATTCTTACGCAACCATTAGATCACAATTAGACCCCTAATTGGCCCACAACCATCCGGCACTATAATTATTTAACCTAGGCCTCCTTT